CCCCAGCTACTGGTTTATTGTCGCCGTTCAAGGACAATTTTCATCCAATTTGGGCCGGCCCGGCGGCCCGGCTTTATTGCAAACATGCCCTGGATGAAGCGCGCAGCGCCCGGCCGCCTCCAACCCATCTATATTCATTTGCACAAGGCTCCCTCCCGGCCTGCGCGGCCGGCGCTGACACGCCAATCCGTCTGCCATCCCGGCACACCACCGCCATGGGGAGGCAAATGTTTGGCGAAGCCATGAGGAGAGGAAAGGTGACGTTCCCTGGGCACCAGGAACCACGCACCGGCGCTGGGTGCCATGCACCGCGGGCGAGGGACCACGGACCAGCACCGTGCACGGTGCGCTGGGCACGCACCGGGTGATGCTGGGGCTCAGGGACCGAGCGCCGGGGCCGTGCCGGCGCTGGATGTGACCCTGTGGGGCTGCACGCCGCTGCACGAGCCGGTGGGTCCTCAGGGGCCGCGGAGGCAGATGGCGAACGGGGAGTCGCCGGAGGACGGCTGCACCGAAGCCCCCCTCCCCGTGCCGGCGCTGCCGGCCCGCCTGGCTGCTGGGAGGGGGGACGGTGGGGACGTTGGGGCCGCAGCGTTATGCATTTATTCATGCTCTGAGCCCCGGCACTGCAGCTCTGCCAGCCGCCTCCAGCCCCAGCGGCTTGCACCGGGCTCAGCTCCCGGCTTTGGCCCCGGAGCCGCTGGCTCCGCAGTTGGGGACGCATCTGTCCCCATCGGGGTGGCCCACAGCATCGTCCCGGGACCTGCTTGGGGGGCAGCGAGAGCAGCCAGGATGGGGAAACTGAGGCACGGCTCGGCACCGGGAGCCATGAGGGGTCGGGGACACCCCCGCCGTGGCTGCTGGCATGCCATAGGGGCTCAGCGCCGGCGCTGGGCTCGCAGCCCCCATGGATGGGGTCGAGCCCCTCCAAGCCCAGCCGCCCCCCGCGGCAGCCGGGCACTGGATCCAGGCCCAGCCTGGGAGCCGCGGGCAGGATCCGGCCCTGACCCCCCCATCCCTCCC